GACTGACAGGAAGTGTACACTCAGTGTGCACCTTCCTATCACTCCGGCCGGCCACTGCGGACCGGAGTGCAGCTCGGCCACGCTACAGGAGAGTGGAGAAGCTGCAGCCGCCTGAGGCTCTTAACAGAGCGCTCGGGCGGCTGCAGTATTTAAAGGGCCGGCCCAGGAACGCGGCCGGCCCCCTGGTGCCGCGGCCCACCGGGAAATTTCCCGGTATCCCGGTGGGCCAGTCCGGCCCTGTCTATATCCCTATACCAACACACACTACAGCACCTATCCTTACTGTGGCGAAAGTAACCTCACCACTGGTTTTTGGAGGGGGCCTGTTTGCCAGCCTCCTGCCCTGCGACCATGGCCCTGGGAGATTTGGCCCTTTAAATACAGTATTTGGGCATATTGTATTTTATTATGCTGCTGCTGACCCTTTAAGAACCATCTGGGGACATACTGTGGAGTTACTGGGTGGCCACCATTTCATGTATCAGAGGCACATGGTAAGAACAATGGATGAAGCACATGGTGAGAACAATGGATGGCGGCCATTTTAACTCACAGACACTGTTTGGACTTTTCTACACGGTGTAGTGGAATACGGTGCCATCTCGCCAGTATTTGGTGCACAAAGACATTATTCAGTAGTTTTAAACTATACAACAGGGGACACATTATACAGTAATTATTTTTCATATAGCCTGTATATGTTCTGCGGAATCTGCATTAAACTGCATCTTCCAAACTACTGAATGGATCTGGGTGAATTTTGGATATGTGGTTCACCCAGATCCCCCGGTTCGGAGGATATACTTGGTTGTATTTCAAAACCTTGTGGTCAGTACTATGTTTGTGGATTGTGAATAAAAGAGGCTGTATGTGCCAGTACAGTCAGTTCTGCTTGACCTCAAAACGAAGTGTCGTCTCGTTATTGGGGGAATTGGATTGTATGCTGATTGCCAGGAGTGTAAGCTGATTGTATGTGTAACGGCACCCTCAGCATAAAAGGGTTAAACCGCCGTTTAGAACATCTTCCCCTTCCAGATATACAGGCACAGCTACTGCAGAACACCAAACTCCCGAACGGCATATAAAGGAATGCTCTAAACTCCTGAACTGGATACAAAATAGCACTCCAAACTCCCAAACTGGAACCATACAAATAGCTGCTAGCAGACGAATAGGAAAAGCACCCAAGCGGCTTACACTCCTAGCATTCAGTCTCTATCAGCATACAGTAAATCCCCCTCAAAGACGAGACAAGGCTCCGTGTTGGGGATCAAGCAGTGGTCTGTTTTAATGAGGGCTACCTGCCCAGTATTTATGCAGGTCTCCCACCTGGTGGACACTCCCCTAGGGGACCAAATGGGAGACTGTGACAAAGGACAGACAATCAGCAATCTAGGACACACAGTCACATTATATTCCCACAATGCATCCTGGCTTCCTCCTCTCTGCCCTGGAGATAATTGAGAAGTAATTCAATTATCTCCCAGGACAAAGGCAAATCGCCATTATGCACGTTGGGATACTAATATAGAAATTACTGTTAAAATCCCCCATGTTGGAACGGTTACAGTAAATATATACATTTAACATAGCCCCAGATAGCTCAGGTCTGAGCGCACATTATTAAGCGAATGGCGCTCAGACTACACAAATACAGTTCAATCGCCATGGAGCCAAAGTGTTCACAAAGTCAGTTCTCATACGAATGAACTCCATGGGATTCCTATCTGGGGTATGGTGTAGTCAGGTACAACTACTGAATATAGGGCCGTTCGTGCACTTCTATCGAGCAAGAAGGGAGGTCAGCGCCAAACTGTATCCGTTTTCAGTTCCATGGATTAGGCGTCGAACACCGCTGTGCCTTTGCGTGGTTTAAAATGGCCTCGACCTCGTGTTCGGCATACGAATGGCGGCCACCCAACTACTGTATCAATCAAGAGGTGTCTGCGGTTAACCTCAACGTTCGAATAGGGCCAAGAGGTTAATCAGCAGCACACTTCTCTACTGGGTGGCCGGCCGTTCGTTAGTTTTGTTCGGTCCTAAAAAGGGAACGCCATAGAGTCCACAGGAACGAGGCAAACGAATTAAACAAAAGAATGAGCCATACGGTAAGTTCAGTCCAAGACAGAGGGATCGATCACAGAATCTACCGAACACTGGGCAGAAAAGGCACGAATAAGCCTTTTCTGCAGGGAAAAAGATGTCTTAACACGGGGCCATATTCCAAAGGCAACAGGCGAGCAACCAGGCTTCTCCAATGCAATGTGGCGAGATTGCTCTCGTCACAGTATGCTTTTCCTGTTCAGCTGCTTACAGCATTCATATGCTTGAGAGCATTTGTATGCTTCTCCGGTTCAGTGGTTGTGGTGTCTGCTGCAGTGCTTGGAGTCCTCAGAAAGCGCTAGGAGCATCCTTCAATGGAGGTACCCAGTCAGGGTGCCAGGTAATCCGTTACATTGGTGGCAAGCGGTTGGATGGCGTCCTAGTGCGAGGAGAAGCAGCTTGGAGACACTGGTAACGTTTGGAGTTACAAATTGAGTTACAAATTGAGGGCAACGCTAGTATCCGTACAGCGCCACTGGCTACAGCAGGATGGAAGCGGCTAGTTTTTGGACAGCGTTGTTTCGGTAATATGAAACTGCTCTGTGTCTTTAAAGTGTCCTGAGAACAAGGCAGAGCAGGACGTCATCCACAAACAGGGCATCTTGTTTTCTACTTATATTGGCCAGTGTGTCTTTCTTTCCCAAAATGTCTGCTCATGGTATCTCTCTCTTAAAATGTCTCCCCATTCTGTCTCATTTTCCTAAATGTCTTCCCCGAGGGGCAGTGTGTGTGTGTGTGTCATGGAAAGAATGGTCTATGGAAGCCAAGTTCTTTTTTGGTGTTTTCTTATGTAGTGTCGAATGTTAGAAAGTGAAGATGAATCTTGAAACTGATATTTTTACTGAAAGAAAGTCTTAAGTGTATAAATAAATGTATTTATTTTTAAAATATTTTACCAGGAAAGATACATTGAGATTTCTCTCGTTTTCAAATATGTCCTGGGTCATATATATAAATGTTTGTGTTTTTGCAGATAAGGAGAATGTACTACGTAAAGGAAATCATTTAATTCCCATCAGGAACGGCTCCCTAAATGTTACGGTTGTCAATAAAAAAAGTGTACAAGTAATCGATGAAATGGAACAAGGAGCAAGAAACACAGTCAAACAATCCACTGTGAAACAGTCACAAAACAAAACACAGAGTGATACAAAATACAAAACACTGAGTGATACACAATACAAAATGGAGGTTGATTCGCAGCACACAATGGAAAGTGATCTGAATAATGGAGACACAACCCACAAGGCTTCCACCAAAGACCACGGAGAAGCCTCAGCACGTGCCCCCTG